TCGGCCAACTAAAAATAATGCAGAAATCGATGAGAATGAAATTAGAGTTAATCGCAAAATATTATATTACTCAAATAATGTTATTTAAAAGAGATTAAATCTATTATTTTATACTTAGAAAATTTTAAAACTTAATTATCTTTATTATGCTACCATTAATATTTTCACTTACTTTTTATTTACAGTTAATTAGGTAAATCCATTATTTTCGGATTTACTTCGTATAGTTTCAAAGTATTTATTTTATCCACTGAATTTCTGAATACCGTAGGGGAACAAACGTAATTATACACGGGGTTAATGGTATTTCAAGTATATTCGAAGATTCCTCTAAAGCTGGGTAGTTACATAAGCGATTTCGCCGCGCGATTTGAACGTTTTCGTCACTAAAAACAGCGTAAAAATCACGCGATTAGGCGAAAAATTAAAGTTATATTCACAAATTAATTAAATTCCCCTTCATTCGCCATTTAGTTCTATATCCACATAACCAGAATATCGCGAGCAAAGTTAAGTAGTCTCTAATAGCCGATCACACCGTCATCTTAAGATTGACATCTTTATATTGTTTGTTTATATTAATATAAAGGAAAGAACACTTTCCAACTTCTAAAATTCTAAATCACATTTAATTTTCATCACTAGTTATAATTATTTAATATGTAATAAAGACGAAAGAAATGGAAAATCTACTGTCGCTAGATTATGTAAGTTCTGTTGTCTTTAATTTAAAGTAATCAAACAACACTATCGTCAATCGAATCTGTATCATAGAAACTGCATAAATATCAATAAATTCGCAATTTTATAAAAGAAACCTGTCACAGGTTTCTAACTTTACAAGATAAAAAAAATTGAAGCAAAGAAATGCAGGTACGTGGAAACAAGAAACAAGAAATTCTTTTCAATATCTATAGAAAAAAACAGTAGCAGAAATTCACTATTCTGGGTAAGAAGAGGATGTAAATTATTATATAAGTAATCGATAATATATCGTTGTGTTTTTGCTTTCGGAATAAAATATATTTATATAAAAATTCTTTCACTTTTAATTAATACAAGGAAAGAAATCTCGATTCACCAGAAACAATTCTAGGTTAAAAGTCTAGAAAGGTGAAAAAAAAAAAACAAACTATTTAAGTGTTTCTTGAATTTTCTATTTCTATCGGAATTTTCTGTTGGTGTCATACAACGAGAAGCACTCAATCAACGACTGAATATAAGTCATGAACCTAGGAAAGAAATGAAAGCGAAGTGGGAAAAAAAATTTCAGAAATGCTAGAAATCTCGAAATAATTCACTTTACATCTATTTTTATCCATTAATTTTTAGAAATAATTAACAAAAAAAAAATTATTTTTATATATAAAATAACAAATAATATTAAAAAAAATTATTAGAAAAGACATACAGTATATAAAGTCTTTCTTGATTGTTTTAAATAAATATAATAAATTCTAACTTTATACAATACTTCGAATATATTAAATGATTAAAATAAGATTTAAAAAAAAANATAGGGCATCGACTGTATTCAATTATTCCTTCACCTATTCGATGAATACTGTATATTTTTTCAAATATAAACAAACAAAGCTTAAATTAATAATTAACTTCCCGAGAACAATTATAGTTTTAAAATAAGATGTATTCAAAATTCGTATTTATATCGATGAATATTTCCCGTATAAATATAATACCTGTTTGGAATTAGATACGCTCAAGTTCAACAATAAAAGTAAACTTTAGACATCAACTAGATATATAGGCTGTACGTATAGACCTATATGTGAGTTGCATCAATTTTTTCCGCATATCATTCACATAAAAACTGTTATTGACTTATCAAATGTTATTTTTCTTCTTCTTTAACCGGGAATTTGATCAACAGACAAAAATAGTGTGTCAAGGTATGGTATTTTTATTCAATGAATAACACGCTTTTTTATTTTTCTATTGAAAAATTCAATAAATTTTTCATCTATTCTATTTATTTATGATGTGTATCTGTCCACCTGTCGCTTATGATGTATGTCAGGTATCTAAAACATTTTTTGAATATATAATTTACTATAGAAGAACATATATTTTTGAAATGTCCGGACAAAAATAATAATAAGAAGAAACATTAAAATGAAAACCATATTACAGTAGACCTCCCCTATAACACTGTAGATAATTCCGTGTTATATGAATTCCATATTGTACGAGTCACTTAGGTTTTACAAATACAGTCGATCCCCCTATAACACTGTTGATTATTCCGTTTTATATGAATTCCATGTTGTACGAGTCATTTCAATTTTACAAATACATGAGCTGTTTACAGCCCGGCACACGTATTTGTAAAATCTAAGTGACTCGTACAACATGGAATTCGTATAAAACGGAATAATCAACAGTGTTATAGGGGGGGTCGGTACGTGTGCCGGACTGTGAACGGCTCACGTATTTGTAAAATCTAAGTGACTCGTACAACATGGAATTCATATAACACGGAATTATCTACAGTGTTACAGGGAGAGGGTCAAATGTATTATCATTTACTACTGTTAACTGAGCAATGCTACTAAAGTTTTTTATTTTTTATCTAATCCGAATTAATCTTAGCTGAGAGGAATTACTGTCACGTTATTCTAGATAGACTATTCATTTATTGTTGCTAAGAATAATTATATTCGGCCAACTAAAAATAATGCAGAAATCGATGAGAATGAAATTAGAGTTAATCGCAAAATATTATATTACTCAAATAATGTTATTTAAAAGAGATTAAATCTATTATTTTATACTTAGAAAATTTTAAAACTTAATTATCTTTATTATGCTACCATTAATATTTTCACTTACTTTTTATTTACAGTTAATTAGGTAAATCCATTATTTTCGGATTTACTTCGTATAGTTTCAAAGTATTTATTTTATCCACTGAATTTCTGAATACCGTAGGGGAACAAACGTAATTATACACGGGGTTAATGGTATTTCAAGTATATTCGAAGATTCCTCTAAAGCTGGGTAGTTACATAAGCGATTTCGCCGCGCGATTTGAACGTTTTCGTCACTAAAAACAGCGTAAAAATCACTCGGTTAGGCGAAAAATTAAAGTTATATTCACAAATTAATTAAATTCCCCTTCATTCGCCATTTAGTTCTATATCCACATAACCAGAATATCGCGAGCAAAGTTAAGTAGTCTCTAATAGCCGATCACACCGTCATCTTAAGATTGACATCTTTATATTGTTTGTTTATATTAATATAAAGGAAAGAACACTTTCCAACTTCTAAAATTCTAAATCACATTTAATTTTCATCACTAGTTATAATTATTTAATATGTAATAAAGACGAAAGAAATGGAAAATCTACTGTCGCTAGATTATGTAAGTTCTGTTGTCTTTAATTTAAAGTAATCAAACAACACTATCGTCAATCGAATCTGTATCATAGAAACTGCATAAATATCAATAAATTCGCAATTTTATAAAAGAAACCTGTCACAGGTTTCTAACTTTACAAGATAAAAAAAATTGAAGCAAAGAAATGCAGGTACGTGGAAACAAGAAACAAGAAATTCTTTTCAATATCTATAGAAAAAAACAGTAGCAGAAATTCACTATTCTGGGTAAGAAGAGGATGTAAATTATTATATAAGTAATCGATAATATATCGTTGTGTTTTTGCTTTCGGAATAAAATATATTTATATAAAAATTCTTTCACTTTTAATTAATACAAGGAAAGAAATCTCGATTCACCAGAAACAATTCTAGGTTAAAAGTCTAGAAAGGTGAAAAAAAAAACAAACTATTTAAGTGTTTCTTGAATTTTCTATTTCTATCGGAATTTTCTGTTGGTGTCATACAACGAGAAGCACTCAATCAACGACTGAATATAAGTCATGAACCTAGGAAAGAAATGAAAGCGAAGTGGGAAAAAAAATTTCAGAAATGCTAGAAATCTCGAAATAATTCACTTTACATCTATTTTTATCCATTAATTTTTAGAAATAATTAACAAAAAAAAAATTATTTTTATATATAAAATAACAAATAATATTAAAAAAAATTATTAGAAAAGACATACAGTATATAAAGTCTTTCTTGATTGTTTTAAATAAATATAATAAATTCTAACTTTATACAATACTTCGAATATATTAAATGATTAAAATAAGATTTAAAAAAATAATAAAAATATAGAATTATAATCAAGAAATTAATCTATAATCTTAAAAACAAATGCAAAAGACGTGAAAGACATTATAATTCAGTAAAATAGACAAATAAATATACTCAACGTCTATGAATGTAACTATGAATGGAACTGCAATATAAAAAAAAAAAAAAAACAGCGATACGAATGTAACTGACTCTCCACAATCCTGCTGTCTGCAACATGTCATATCTCCGGGTGATTGCTATTATAGATGAGCAAGTTTTCAAGACTGATGTTATGGAAGAATAGCCGAGCTCTTGTTAACATTTCGTACGCTTTTAAAAATTTATACATATATAATTTTATTTTATACTTTTATATAACTTATTTATTTATTGTATTTTACTTTAGGATACAGAAAGAGTTCAAGATCGTGAACTATAGAAAATAGAATCTCTGAACAAATATTTTATTAAAGCTGATTAAACGACATTGATCCGGATGATGGCAATCCGTTATCGTATTCATTCGATACAAGCTTCGAAACCAAACGGAAAAAAATAGTCTGTAATCTAATACCTTTAAACCCGTTATTGTCAAGATTTCTTTAGTTATACAATGTTTAGATATTTCTGTTCCATCTGTTCCTATCTCTGATTCCATTATTTTTCTAAACTAAATCCTATCTAGAAACGTCTTCGATCAATCGTTGTCAGTCGATTAAAGAACATATGGAAGAACTCTTGTAAAGGATAAATACAAGCATTTTAGAATAAGTAAATTTCTAACAGGCTTTCTTTTTTTTTTTCATTTGTCAATCTCTCAACAAAATCATATAAAATTAAACTTGATTAAAAGATTATAAAATTAATTATATTATTTTATACTCTCAATATATTTAATAGGACTCTTTATCGATAGTTACTTCTAAAAATACGATAGTTATTAACAACAGAATGAGAGATTCTGGTTTGAATTTGATCTGAATTCTCATAAATTTTTATTGTATTTTGGATCAGGATGTCGTTTTTTATTCCTCATTCCTTTTGGCCGATTTTATTGTGAAGCTGGACTACAATTCTTCAACTAGTTTAATCTTCGTAGTGAATTAATTGAAGGATGATAATATTACATCTTCGGATTCGATATTTTATAATTGTTTTATACAATCTTTGGCAAATTCTTTAAATCAAGAAACAGGCATTTTTATGAATAAGAAGTACAGTATAACATCGAGTGGTATTATTGGTAATTTTTGATAAATTTGTTCTAAGCGTACGATTCCGGCTAAAGATGAATTTGTAAGAAAATGACTTGAAATTTTTGCCGAAATGTAATCTGTAGTTCGACTTTCACACAAATTTTTAGGAACCACTACGTTCAAAAATCAGACTCTATACTTCTTAACCAGTTTCTTTGCCTTTAGAGATTACTCAATAATAAAAATGTATATTTTGACAATACACAGAATGTAGACATTACACCAGGTTATATGTCGCTTCTACTACAGTAGCGTGCAAATTGATCTGAAAATGTCAAGTAACAACAAGATTTATAGAAATATATGTTTACAAAAGTTAATAGTAAATATAATATGAAATACTGCATGAACTCCCTTGGCTTTAACAATTTGGTAACATTTTTGTTTCACTTCTTCCTCATGAAATCATATTTAAAAGATGTCACAACCTTTTTAGATTCATGGCATAGCACAAGATATTGTTGAAAAATCCATTCATAATTCCTATTCGACCACAGTTTTGTCATAGATGGAACGACTCTCCTTCCTACAACTTCAATGTATTTTAATGAATTTATTACGCAAAGTGATAGGTACAGTACAAGGGGCTACGTATCATAGATGAAAAAGCATCTCAGAATATTGTTTTTATCTCTGATAGTGTTCCAATTTTCATTGCATCTCTTACTGTTTCCACAACATTAACATTATAATTCTTGTATTGATGATGTCCTAATAACCTCTTATATTGACGAGGCATTTAACACAGCGCATTTCTGAAAAAAGAAAAACAATTTAGAATAATTATTTGCTTATAAGATATTCAGCACCTACATTAATATCACTAATGCTTGAGTATTTCGATCCTTCAAATCTGAATCATCCTGCAGTAGTGTTTGGTACACAATTTCCTTTAAATAACCCCACAAAAAAGTCTACAGGAATGAGATTGAGCAAACGAGGAGGTCATTCCAGTGATTTTTGAAATCCTATTCAGTGATCTCCAAATCGCTCGTCAAGCCACTTATTAACGGCTCTTGTTCAATAAATTTGTGTACTATCATGTTGAAACCATACTTCTGCAGTTCACACAATGGTAGGTCATCAAGCCATTCATCAATAATCCTCTGCAAATGTTGCAAGTAGCGCTTGCTACTCAGGTTATTAGATAAAAAGTTTAGTCCAATAGCACGATTATTGCAAATAACACATATTACGTTCACACTAAATCAAACCTAATGCTGTAAATCTCTTATGTAGTATGAATTTTATGTAATCCAGTAAAGTATACTTTAATGGCTTATCATACCATTCCAAATAAACAAAGACTCATCAGTCTAAAGAATTTGTCGGCAAAATTCTTTAGACTGATGCTCTTTCACAAGATCTAAAATTGGGTTAGACAAAATACATTACGTTAAAGGAGAAATTCGATAGAATCTATTCAGAGTAAAGACAATCCAATCGAAAAGAAACAATCAATATTCTAAATTTGGCCAATTCAACTAACTTTTAATATAAAAAAAATATTAAAAAAACTGAAATTGTTCCCACGCATAGTCAACTTCCCACGCAAATGTTCGAGTTTTATTATTATTTTCATAATATACTTTTTAAATGAATTTTAAATTTATTTTATTAACCTTCAAATCCTTTAACGTTTCCTTTATTAAATTTTTTAAATGGCTCAAAACAAGAATATTAATTTTTTAACATACACTTTCATCTTTCTTTTTCACGTTACTCGCGTATACACATAATCTATAACTATTTTGATGTATAAGATTTGTAATAAAGCATGTTTTAATTAACTCTGTGACTAAAAGAACCTCAAGGGTATGTCTTTCTTCATTAATTCAATTTAAATAATATAAAACGACAGCGTAATCGGATGAAACTCTATTTGTAAATGAGTGGAACCTTATTGATAATAAGACTGAAGTTAATTGATTAATAAATGGAGAATGAACCTTTTCAAAACATATTACGAATAATGTTACCATGTTATCTATTATGATTAGTTAATAATACTTTTTTAAGTATAAATATCTTCTTGTATATCCTAAAATCGACTTAAACATAATTATTAAAATTATTTTCATAAATAATAAAGAGGAAATTATTATTATAAAATTAATAAATGTTTAAACATGTTTTCGTCTTGTTAATATTTCATTATTTACAAAAGGATAACTTAATTAACGTTATGCTTATATTAATTAATATGCGATAGATTATATTTATAAACAAGTCTTACTATGTATGTACTGTATGCCCATGCACACTCACTTTTAGGGGCGGATTTATAGATTTAGGGGCAGTAAACGAGCCCTTCTAGCTAGTTTGAAGTTATCGTACACACTGAAAGAATAGATCACCAATTTAACTAACTTATAAAGCCGTAAAGAATTAAAATTTGCATACGTTGCATAGCTTATTTGTCGATGTAAACTGAAATATAACCTATAAAACACGTTTTCTTCTCAGCTTCTACTTCACAGATAATCAGTTACATTATTTTAATTTTTTTTAATAATCAAATCAGTAAATATGTCTTAGAATTTTTTAAAAAAAGAACAAACCTATATGACCTTTATGAAGTAATTTTAGTAGTAGGACCCCCCCCGAATGGCCGCTTGCCAATAAATCCGCTCCTACACACTTCGAATGCACGGTACGTAATATATAATTTTATATCAACATATTGTATAATAATGAAATATGAATTATTTATTTAACAATGAGTATAATGTCACAATAAATAATTGCTCGCCTCAAATAAAATATCATTTCATCTCAGTTAAAATGACAATTTATAAGATTTCAGGTCTTTCAGACTTATGAAGTAGAAAGCTTTTGAAAGGAAGTCAAACTTTCTCTGTAGTTTTCATGGCTGACTCAGAACTATTCTTCTTCTCTTTTGGGATGGATATGTCTGCAGAACTCCTATTTTTGTTGTTCTTATTTAAAAAATTGGGTCATCGATTATCTGATAAGTAGGACAGGTGATCCAAACTTCTTTTCTTTAGTGACTCTTCTGCTATTTGAGATTGTCTGGCAGTGTTGATCTGAATATCGTGAACTACTTTAAACGGCTGGTTAACAGACGTGCCTCCTCTGACAGCTCGAAAGGCAGCAGTCAAACTACTTTGTATGCATCTAGCTACGTTCTAACGCTTTATCGTAAATCTGAAATACATACGTTTATTTCAAAATTAATCACTCTCTTGCGTAACAGCATAGGCAATAGTGATATAGTGTTTCTGATAAACTAAAACTGGAACAAGACAGCTACTAAAACGTTTTCATAAGTTATATTGAATAAGAAATGATATTGTGTGAGCATTTTCTAATATATAATATAATCCGTATATATATATAGTCTAATATTATTATAGAGATATTGAGAACACAGAAGTTTCCGGAATCTCCCTTCTCTCTCATTAAATCTAATACATGAAATGTACTGTACAGTACACTGGAAACTAACTTATACTTTAAGACTACAAACATGCTTCCTAACAAATAACAGTGATTTAAAAAAAACTACATTAAGTTCAAAATAATTTGATAGCAAAACCTTTCTGGTGTTACATCGAGGGTGGCGAATTGTTACTTAACGACACATATCTACCAAAATTCTATTACTTCTTTTACATATGAATCTCTACCAGTCAATGATAACTATGGCACCAGCTTGACCAGCTTAATATTTTTGAATAACTTAATTAATTTTTCGTGTAATTTTTGACTTAAGAATTTTTTTTTTGGCAAGCAGAAGTATAAATTCAGAATGTAATAAAAACAAGATAAACTTAACAACATAGCATTTACTTTTAAACTTGTTTAATCAAGTGTATATTTTTAATTAGAACATTACTATTTTTTTATACAAGAAAACATGAATAATTTCGTTAACAACTCTGTCATTAAAGAGTTACAATTCCATAACGTAACGTATTATCCATTTGATACTTAATGATCTCTGAGTGTCTATTTAGAAAATTGTCTTACAGACTGATATGCACTTTCAGTTTGTCATTAGTCATTATTTACTTGCTATTGGTAACTAATATACTCTGTGCTGTACATTAGCATTGTCACGAATGCCTGAAAGTAAAGCTTGGAAAAGCTTTCAAACAATATGAAAATGCTTATTAGCTTTTGTGAGAACTTTTCAAATGGGTACTAAATGTTTTATAAGTAACAGAAATAAACATATTCTATTTATAGTAAATCAGAAAAAGTTCCTTAAAGATAATTTCTAATTGTAAATAAGTTTATTTTACTTTAATTACATGCTACTTCTAAAATGGTGAACAATTTATTGAAAAAGTTTGCTGGAGTTATGCAGGAAACATTAAAAGAATAAATCACTACTTGTATAAAATACATTTCTAAGGATCGTTATATAAAGTAACTTATTTATCAATTTAGATAAGGTTATATTTATAAAAAAGAAAAATAATTACGATCACGAAGTAGAAGAATGAGAGCATCGCCTTCTTTGTACAAATACTCAATTGGATCTTGTAATTGATTTTATCAAACTAATAATCTAACAGTTAGATTATTAATTGAGAGTTCTTGAAATATAAGTAAGCTCCTAATTTTATATTTCTACATTTTTCTCGTTATCTTTGTTATTAATTTTCCTAAATTCTTATCTCTCCTTTTCGGATTTTCTTAATGTAAAATACTATACACTGTTTTCATTTATCTTCCACTGAACAATGACATTTTGTACATTTTGTAATATTTAATAGAATTATTTAAAAGTATAATACAATATTTGAAATGTTTTTTTAAATATAATGTGGCATCAAATAAGTTAAATAGCCCAGACCTCTCTTAAGACCTTGATTACAGTTATTGGTAGAATCTCGCTCATCCTGTCTCTCAATTATCCGGTATATCTTCCAGTGTGATGCTTATACACTTCCGTTTTCAAGAAAATGTTAGTCATGTCACACAACCTCTTTTCCTGTTTACTCAGGTTTCATTTCTGTGTACGTATTGAATTTCAGTGCACTGTATTATGTCTGTCTCCAAAACGAATCAGTACCGAAGGATGACAAGTCACATCTTTCATTGCCTTTAGGCAGGTTTCAGGCCTATACTCTCTTAGTTATCTGGCTAATGAGGCACTTCTCCGTGCAAGGAATAGCCAGATTAGCAAAAGTTTACAGTACAGTACAAACTATAAGCTTAGTTTCTTTACAAACTTTCTGATATATTTTTAAAAAAATAAGCATTTATATATATATATATATAATGGAATTTTCATCCTACCGCAATTACCCGTTTTCTTTGTTTTCAATTTATAAAAACGTAACTATAATAAAACAATTGAGTAATTAAAAAAACGTAATTAAACACCGATACGTTGAATTTGTAATAAGAAAAGAATTCACGCAACGAACTGTTTAATAAATGTAATNAGAGTTAAAAGTATAAAACAATATATATATATATTATATAAATTTTAAGTTATAAATAAAAGATACGAATAAATTATAAATAAAAACAAGTGTTTATGTAGTATACAAGATAAATAGCAAGTTGTAAAGCACAATGAGTCATAGAAAATTTATAGTAATATGATAAATAATTAATATAGAATGATATTTTTATATAAATAAACTTACTGAAGCTTCAAATTCAATGTAAAATTTATACAGTGTAGCGAATCAGAAAGATTTCAAATAAAACTGCTTATGTATCGCCTTTTAAATAATTGGACATATATATAATTTAATTATTGATGTCGGTAAAATGTTTTTTTTTATTTATTATAAAGTTTCAACCAACTGTTAAAAATTGCCCACGCTCTCGTGAAATTTGATAGCACAAATTTAAAAGTAACGCTTTGGGAATTTCTAGGTTTTAATACAGCAAATTTCTTTTTCTTTGTTTTGTTTGATATGTATGTTATTGTCTCTAGTTTGCATGTTATTATTTCATCACAAAAAATTTACGTAAATATTCAAAAACCCCTTCTATATTTTACCAATTATTATTTTTTTTTTCATTCTTTCGATTTAAATATTATAAATATTTTTGTTATATTTTTCCGAATAGCCTTAGGTTACTCTAATATACGTGCATCTAAAAAAAAAATTTCTTTTACTTCCTCGGCTTGTTATGCATATAACACGGGAAAGTATTGGAATCGTGTCAAATTTGGCCTTCCGGGTTTCTGCAAATCTTTACGTTCGAGATCCCCTAAACCCCCCAAAAAAAGTAAAAAAAAGAGGGAAATTCCGTGGACATGTATGTATTTATCTGTGTGTGTTTGTTTGTTTGTTTGTATAGATAGCATCTATTTCGTTTAATATAACAGGATAAGATAAAGATTAAAAACGAAATTTTGTATTAAAACTTACTGGTATATATAAGGACCATTGATGCTATTGAGTTTTTGGGGTTAAAGATCGAGAGAATGGGGAGATGAAGGGGTGCAACGTGTCATATCTCGAGTAGCGAGCGTCTAATTTAACGAAGATTGTTTTAATAAAATCTCATAACAGATGGATACACAGAAAATTTTAATTTTGTATAAATATATCTTACAAATTTAGCGAACACGTAGCCCTAAACACAAAATAGTTCCTTGTCCAAATAATAAGATCCACTTCTCAAGCTTTCTGAAAAACTGACCTCTGAAAATTGAGTGTCAACATTGTTGGATTTTTTTTTCTTTTTAATTATTATGTTTATTGTTTTTAATAAATTAGAAACACCTTTTCGTGATGATGCCAACAAAGTGTTGGTGTACTCGAAAAATTTATATATAAACTTAATACAGATTTAAATTTCTAAGGAAATTGCATTTTATTATTTTCTACAAAATAAAAGAGAAATTCTAAGATAAATTAGTGGTTCTCAAATTCATTATATTTATTTTCTCTATTTAAACACATTTATTATCTCTTATAATCCGGCTGGATCGTAAAGAAGTAAAGTTTTATTAAACAGAAAATATGTAAAAGAATAATAAAAAAAAAAATAACTTTTATCTTATAAATTTTAAGATTCTAATGAAAATTCATTATTAAATATTATGCATGATTGAATAACTATAAACTAACGTAATATATTAATCTTATAATTAGATTATAAGTATATAATATTAGGATAGAAACATTTTTAAATGAAATATTTTATTAAAGTATGAATTTTTTAAATGCTTTTTCCTACATAAATATAGAATAACCTAGTATACAAGTCGATCCCCCTATAACACTGTTGATAATTCCGTTTTATATGAATTCCATGTTGTACGAGTCACTTAGATTTTACAAATACGTGAGCCGTTCACAGCCTGGCACACGTATTTGTAAAATCTAAGTGACTCGTACAACATGGAATTCATATAAAACGGAATTATCAACAGTGTTATAGGGGGATCGACTTGTATACTAGGTTATTCTATATTTATGTAGGAAAAAGCATTTAAAAAATTCATACTTTAATAAAATATTTCATTTAAAAATGTTTCTATCCTAATATTATATACTTATAATCTAATTATAAGATTAATATGTTACGTTAGTTTATAGTTATTCAATCATGCATAATATTTAATAATGAATTTTCATTAGAATCTTAAAATTTATAAGATAAAAGTTATTTTTTTTTTTTATTATTCTTTTACATATTTTCTGTTTAATAAAACTTTAC